TAGCTGCCCCCAAAGCCACTTCCGAGCCCCGAGACGACGCGGGAAGAGACGGAGTAGCTGCCAGAGCCCCCGTGCACGCTGGGGGCCCTGTAGCCTCCCCCCCCGACACGCACGGAGGAAAGCCTGCTGGAGCCTCCCCCCAGGCTCCCAAATCCCTTGAGGGAGGTGGAGGAGGAGTATTGCCTGACAGTGGTGCTCATGGTGGAGGCTGGAGGTGGAGAGAGAGGCAGTTCTGCAGCTCAGCAGTGAGTGCTCCTTCCCCTGCCTCGGGGCCCTTTATAGCCCGGCCAGGAGGCGTTGCCACACGGTTGGTTTTTTTTTTTGTTGCATTCCCGACGATTTTCATCACTCCTAAAACCTGAGCCAACTTCCAGAATCGTCATTTTTGCCTTTGTTCTGTTGATGCTTTTTGTCAAACTCCACTAGAAGGTTTTTCTCTCACAAAGGGCGTCTTTATGCTTCTTCCGTTTCCAAGTAAATCATCAGGTGTGATTCAAAGGAGGAGGCTCCTTGCTCAGGGCTACGATTTAATTCCTTCTGCACTGTTAGCTCTGGAACAGGCAGCGTTTGAGGGAGTAACTCAGCATCTCTTTTACTGTGGCTTTTCATCCCAGTTAGTTTCCTGTCCCTGCTTAGGCTGCACACACACCTGCAGGGACAGCAGCCCTGTCGTGACACCTCCACAGCCCCGTGAGTACAATGGTGCCAGAAGGAACTTGGCTCCTGATCCTGGAAATACAAGTGTGCTCTTTTATCCACAGGGAGAGGGATGATCAGTAGTGAAAAAGCAATGAAAAGGGAATTTGTGCTCCAGGGCTCGCTCGAGTCTTTACTTCAGAGACCACCCATGAGTGGGGGAATGTGAAAAGGCATTAGCAGGGGATGGTTTGTGTTCTTTGTGGATGAGCACTAGCAAACTATCCTGAAAGGGCAGGGTATGGCTGCTAGCTAGACATTATGAGATGCTCCAGGAAAAATGCAGAATAGCATAAAGTAGATGAAGGATGTAAGGAACAAACTCCTGGTGTCTAAACCCTGTGAACAGGAGCAGCTGGCAGCAGCACAGCTGGGCAGCCAATGCTGGTGATGTCTTCTGAGAGGGACAACGTCAGTTGTGACCAGGCAGGACAAGTGCAGTGTGAGTTTGGAGCTGACAGCTCCCGTGTTAACAGAGCTTCAGGAGAGACTGTGGTTGTGTCTGACGAGCAAAAGGACTCCAAACCTGAGTGCAGTGCCGTGGTCTGCTGTCGGCACTCTGTGCTGACCCACAGCACGGGCAGAGCCCACCAATCCCAGTGTCCCTGGCTCGTCACACAGGGTGTGGAGGAGGAGGGAACGCTCATGTGTGCACACGGTGGATTGTTGGGCTGTCTCCACAGACAGGCCCCAACAGCCCCTTCCCAACAGCCAAGTTCTTCCTTAGATCATTTGCCAAAGGAGGGGGGAAAGGGAATGGAAAGAAGAACAAAGGTACATTACTGAGCAGCTCAAAGGGCACGACTCCCTCCCCTCCCTCTGCAGAAAGCTGGAGACGGTGCAGGAGTGGGATGTGTCCTTGGAATATCAAGAGTTGGCTGCTGTGGAGAAGTGGTTGCCCATCTTCCGTAGGACTTGGAGCTCTGCAGGACCGGAGCCTCGGCCACGTTGGCTGTGGCTGTTCCATCCCTGGCGTGAGCGCGGGCGCGGGGCCAGCGCCGCCCACTCCCCCGTCCTGCCCAGGTGCACATGGGGAAGGTGCAGCAGCGCGGGGGCGGCCGGGACGTGTCACTCCGAGGAATGTGCTTCCTCCTCATCTTTATTTCCCCATCTTCGCCCGGGCAATGCTGTGGTTTGTCCTCCCCGATTGCAGTGGTGACAAGGGGAAAGGGGAACGTCAGAGACAAAACCAGCGCAGAGCCCCCTGTGAGTCCAAACCCTCAGCCCGGCCCTGAGCAAAGCCCCTCAGGGCAGCGGGGGTGTCACAAGGTCACTGTCACACCGTCACACTGTCACTGTGTGTGTCACACGTGTGACACGTGGCTCTGTCTGTGCGTGAAATTGCCTTTTCTGTCATCTTTTGTTTGCCATTGAACTGCTGTGTCATAAAAATACACATTGCCCAAAATATCTGTGATACTTTGATAATGCCACAGGGCAGCAATTAAAATCATGAAGTGTTAATTAAGGTGGAAAACAACATTAACCACTCGAGGACATTATTTCCATGACCTCCCATTGAACACAACCATGAGGACTGCATGTTGTTTGTATCACACTCTTTGAAGTAAAAGGCTGGGTATTAAACCAGATCCTGCCTCTGTTGAGTGGCACGTGCATGCTGTGAGCCCACCTTTAATACATTTCAAAATCAGAATTCCAGCTGTATGGCATAACAGCTTTGTGGTTGCACACTGATGTTTAAACACACAATTCTGTAGGAGGAAAATGGAGGTGAAGTTCTGGCTCCAAACCTGGATATCAGCAGCCCTGGATACTACCTGGATAAAACCACTTCTCTCTTTAAATGTGTTTATAAAGTTTCTCCTGTCCTTAAAATGAGCTGAAAACCCACATATCAATGTCTCTTTCTAAAGTGGTCTTTTTTGTCAGAGTAACTCTGTGTAGCCTGAGAAGTCGAACTGTCTTTGTGGACTAAATTCCCTGTTTTTGAAACATGCCTTAAACTGCCGCTGCCTGTCAGCATGAGCCTGCAGATCCCTCCTTGACGGGTTTCCTGAGGTCAGGGCTAATTAATAGTGCTCAAGGCAGGAGAGAATCGACTTCTGTTTTTCACACCTCCCTCACACTGTGCAGTAGGAGTAATTAAACCAGGGGATTTCGTTAGAAAGTGTTATTTGTTGTTTCTATAGGAACAGGGGTGTGCCCAGACTTTTACGGGAGAAAAATATGAAGCAAGGGTGAATTCCAGCGAGGCACCTCAGCAGCCCCTTGCTCTGTGTCGCAAGGGAGGCAGCTGGAGGGTTGACTGCAGGCTGTGTCTGTCCTGACACTTCTCAGGCAGCTGAGCTTGGATGGCCCAGGGCATGGATCCCCCCAGGGAGAGGCTCCAGACTATGGATCTCCCCAGGGAGAGACCCGAGGCTGCCCAGAGCTGCTCCTTCAAGGCTGTGGGAGCAGAGGGAGTGCAGTCTGCAGGACTGTGGAGGTGCTGGAAGTGCCTCCAGCTGGGAATTGTGCTGCTGCTGATGATTCACATCGTGGATCATCCATGATGCACCACAAGGATGTTCTCTTGACCCCAGCACTGCCTCACTGGGTTGTTTCCATGTCCTTGGGTGGAATCTGAGTGGAAATGAGCTCACTGATTGATAGAATTCAGCTTTAAACCAAATCGTGTCTCCACTGCTTGGTGGATGCTGGGGGTGCTCAGGACAGCTGATGACCCACAGGGATCACAGGGGTCTGCTCCAAGGGGACAGGGGGGACACAGCCCTTGGTGCTGGGCAGAGCTGCAGGGCAGGACTGTCAGGGTCCCTGCCAACCCACCTGATGCACTGCAGGCATCATTCCAATGTCTGGGGGGAAAAAAAAAGAATTTTGTCTTATCTCCCCCTGAATTCCAGGCAGATTTTCTAGAGAGGAGTCATAAAGCTGTGTGGCCAGCTCTGCTCTCACTCACAATCAGTAGCATTGCTCTGATTCATCTCATTGATTTAGAAGTTGGATTTATGAAGTAATAAATGTGACAGAATCCAGCCAAGAATGTGTCTGAACTGGCTTTCCAGGAACGCTGGGCCAGCTGACAGCAGCAGGAACTGCTGTGTCAGGAGCAGCCACCAGCACCCCAGGGAGTGCCAGAAGAACTCCCAGAAGAATTTTAATCTTTTTGCTTGCACAGACCATGCCCCACTGCTTCCCGTCACTGTTTTCCTCACCCTTCAGCAGCACCTTTGGAAGCAGGAATCAAACTGAGCTGAGTTTGCCTGTCCGGAGGGGCAGCAGCCAGCAGATCCCTGCCCCACCTGCAGCTTCCCAAAGCTCAGGATCCAGACTGGGGGGCAGCTGCTGGGGCAGAGCTGGGGGGTGTTTGCAGGGTCCTGGCTGCATCACCTGGGCTTTGTTCATGTTCTTGCTTGGCCTCTCTGGGTTAAAGCTTCGGCTCTGCTGTCCCTGGGTGTCGCAGTGGGGGAGCAGCGCTTTGCCCGACCTGAACCTCTCAGTGCCCAGTCCGAGGTGAAACGCAGACACACCGACAGGTTTCACCTCCCACCACCTGTGGGATCAGTTCCTGTCTAGTCCTCCTCCACACCAGCATCCATCCCCTCTTCCCTGGAGCCGCCAGGTCTCAGGTGTTCAGAGGTGTGGGTGTGCTGGGCCCACCATCGGGGTACCAAGGATGGGGAATGTTGGTCCTTCCAGGGAGGAGCTTTGTCCCACGGCTGCAGGAGCGGGACAGCCCGAGAGCAACGGGACCAGAGCCTGGTTTGCAGGAGTGTGAGGAGAAGCTTTATTTGATTTCTGTGTGTGGCACAGTGCTGAGAGAAGGGTGAGGGAGGGGAAGGAGGGGGGTGAGAGAGGGAGAAGGTGCTTTTCATGGCACACAAGGCCAGAGCATGTCAGCAGGGATCTGCTTTGCTGTGCCAGGCGAGGTTTGCAGCAAACCAGGCTCAGTGGGCTCCAAGGGCTCAGTGGGCAGCCTGGGTGATCTGCTCCCGGGAGGAGATCACCTTCCCATCCTGCACCTCCTCGAAGATCGTGCGGATCTGGCGGGTGGTTACAGGCCCTGCAGTGGGGAGGGAAGGAACCATTATTTCCAGGGCAGCAAGGAAAAAGTGTCTTAAAGAGCTTCATCCTAAAGATTTGTTATTAGAACCACCGCCTCAGAAACCCAACGTAACACCCCATTCTCACCCCTGAAAGCTTCACTGTACAGCTTCAGTCTGCTCAGATAATTTCTCAAAGAGGTTTTGGTATATCATAAGAGTTTTTTGTGTCAATTCACATTTTGGAAATATAATGAAATAGTAACTTTAGTAGATTAGTAGAAGAAATCTGTGCTAAAAAGGTGGATAAGGATGTGATAGAGCTGTATGTGATCAGAGCTTCAGCCAAGACCTGTTCTTACCTTCTTTTGGCGCGATGTAGTGGGAGGACATGCTACAGGAGGAGAACAGGGAAAGGGTGGTCAGAAACAGGAAAAAAGTGGGTGATCGCTAAGACAAAATCATTATTTAAACCCTGCCTTTATTTCTTGTGATAATCACCAGTAAGTGATTAAAATTCCAGTGCTTCTGGAAACTGCCCAGTGTCACAATTAAGAGAAGAAACTGCTAAGGATGCATCTGTGCCACGGGGATTTGGATACCAAGGCAGCACCTTTCCCAGCTGCAAGGAGCAGCAGCAGCACCTGCTCCCTCCCCAGGGTCACACGGACACAGGAGGGATGGGAGGTGGATCCCAGGGATGCTGCAGCACCGTTATAACCACAGGGCTGTTCTGGACTTGGAGACCCTGTTGCATGTGGTGGGTCAGGGAATGGGCTGACAGGACCCTGCAGGGAAGGCAGGTGGTTCCTTTTCTGTTTCCTTTGCTATCCCCGTGTCCTCCCGCCGCCCTCCCCGCGCAGCCCCTCACGCACTGGGCGTCCTCGCCCTCCAGGAGCCGGCGGTACGTGGCGATCTCCTGCTCCAGGCGGCACTTGACGTCCAGCAGGACCCTGTACTCGTGGTTCTGGCGCTCCATGTCGCAGCGCAGCTCGGCCAGCTGCTCCTCCACGCTGGTGATCAGCGCCTGCAGCTGGGCCAGCTGGGTGCCGTAGCGCGCTTCCGTGTCGGCCAGGGTGCCCTCCAGCGCCGCTTTCTGCGGGACGGGCACGGGGCCGGCTCAGGGGCGCAGGGGCGGCCGGGGGGGCACAGCCCTACGGCCCCGGGCCCGTGTCCCCGGGTGCCCCCCGCCCCCCGTACCGTGCTGAGCTGGGACTGCAGGTCGATCTCCAGGCTCTGGATCGTGCGCCGCAGCTCCGTGATCTCCGTCTTGCCGCTCTGCAGCTGCTCCGTGTTGATGGCCACCTCCCGGTTCAGCTCTTCCGTCTGCAGTGAGGCCGAGCCGTGCCCTCAGAGCCCCAGTGGTGGGCACAGCCCCGGCCCCGCGCCCGCTGCTCCCCCCCAGCCCCTCACCTTGCTGAAGAACCACTGCTCGGCGTCCCTGCGGTTCTTCTCCGCCAGGCTCTCGTACTGCTCCCGCATCTCCGCCAGGATCTTGGTCAGGTCGATTCCAGGGGCAGCGTCCATCTCCACGCTGATCTCCCCACCCACCTGCCCGCGCAGGGCACTCATTTCCTGACACAGAAAGAGAAAAACATCTTCATGCAATCCAAGAACCAGCATATGAAATGTTTTTCTCGAGACAGAGTTCTTCAGGAAAGGGAGCATTTGGAGGCAGATCAACAGAGAGCAAATTGGGGCCTTTGCCCCATGACCACAAAGAAAATAGTTCAAATTCTTAAGAAATCCCTATGGGAGTTATTTCATCAGAAAATAAAACAGAGCCTGTAGCTGGTTCATTTCTCAAGGAACAGACCTTCCCTGCCCGAAGCTGTGAGGGATGTTAATAAAGTTCTAACAGCTACAATGGTTATTACTGACATGCCAAGTGGTGAGTGGGTGTTACCCAGTCTCCAGGGAGGATGGGGAGGATGTGCTGCTGTCCAAGATGCAGCCCCTCTGCTGCCTCACCAGCACTTCTCACCTCCTGCCCAGTACTTAGTGTAGCCTTAAAGGCTGGACCAGGGATCAAATTTCTGGGCCAAGGGTGGCCTTTTTTGAGCCTGGCTCTGTGCTCACCTCCTCGTGGTTCTTCTTCAGATAAGCCAGTTCCTCCTTCAGGTTCTCGATCTGCATCTCCAGGTCGGCTCTGGACAGGGTCAGCTCGTCCAGGACGCGGCGCAGGCCGTTGATATCGGCCTCCACGCTCAGGCGCAGGGCCTGCTCTGACTCAAACCTGGGGGCACAGCAACAGTCAGCAAAGCTGCACAAATGTGGGGAAAACCAGCAAAACAGTGTCCACCTGAGTCCATCACGTCACCCTGTTCCTGATCCCACCAGGCCTTGGTGCTGGCCCTGTGCTCTGTGCAGCTGCACACACACGTTAAGTGCACAACAAGGCACAGGGCAAGGCCTCTGCACAGGAGAGCCTGTGCCATGGGTGAACAAGGAATGGGAATAACAGTGGTCGTGGATGGAAGCAACACAATCCCTGAGTGCCTGTAAGACTGAGATAACCATCTGCTTTGGAAATTACACCCTCGTTTTGAAGGCTTTGTTTTCCTGCTGCCTTTTTGGGGTTTGGATGGGATTTTCTCCTCATTGCATCAAACTTCCCTTTGCTCCGTTTTTCCAGGAAATGTGGCTTACTTGGTCCTGAAATCATCGGCCGTCAGCCTGGCATTGTCAATCTGCAGCAAGAGGTTGGCATTGTCAACTGTGGCCGCCAGCACCTGGTGGGTGGGGGATAAAAAAAGGAGCGTCAGGAACTCCTCCTGACAGATCAAGGGAAGCAGCACAGTGGGAGTGCTGGGACAGGAGCAGTTTTGGGGAAGTTTGGGATTTCTTTAGCAGAAGTGTGCATGGAATCAGGACAAGGGAGATGCAGCTGCGACTGTGGGAAGGGGCTGGTTACTCTGTGACTTCCCTTTCCAAAAATCCATCGGTAAGTGTTCCAAAAGGCAAAGTGGGGCCATGAAAGATGTGTGAAATCTGATGGTGGCTTTTGTTCCCGTCCTTCAGGGCAGGTGCTGATTATAGAAAGGTCAAGGAGGAATCACGTGCTCCCCACCTGCAGCACCGTGGCAGGACAGAGGGACCGGCAGGGTGTCTGCACTTGGCACACCTTGTTCTGGGGTGGATTTAATTTCTTGGCAACAGAAATGGAGCAAAAGGCAGTGAGCAGGTGCCTACAGCTTCTGATTTTCATATTACCAAAGCAAATAACCCCTCCTGGGAGGAGATTCAAGTCAGAGTTTGGGAGAATTGTGTTAAGGAGATGGGAGGAAAATGGATTCCCTGCATCCTTTGCCAGCACTCCCACAGCTCTAGCTGCACAAGGCTTCCTGCGTGTTTGCTGGGGGCAATTCATGCATGGGAAGTAACAGAGGACAAAAGAAATTGGAGCATTTCCTCCAAAATGGGGTGCTGGGACTCAAATCAGATGGAGAGGAATCCCCCAAGATGCCTGGGCTGGGGGCTTTGCACCAAGCCCAGCCCAGGGGCAGTGACTGCCAAAAGGAGGTGAAGAACTCGTTATTGGTCAGATCCATCTTTTTATCATCTAAATCTCCTTAACAGGAGGAGCTGAAACAAGTTTGCAAATTCTTTGCCTGAATGTTTCCAAACATGACATCAGCGTCTCACAGTTTGCCCACAGTTACAACTTTCCCTGCACATTCCTTTAAAACTCCCAAGAACGCACATGATCAGTGCAGACTTGTCTGTATTCTTCATTTTTGTGTTACGTCTTGTTACATCCGTTTCTGCCAGTGAAAGCTTCCACTTGTCCCACCCAGGAGGATGCAACCAAAAGAAACACCCTTGATTTCCAACCTGGCGCTCCCCATGTGCCACTGGGACACTTTTTACAACATAATTAGTGCTGACTAATTACAGAAGTAACAGTCAGTGTTTCTGCTTCCTCTCT